GATCTTTGGAAGACCCAACACTGCCTCCCTTTAACCTTCTCTGATCCTCATGTACCAGAGGCTCAACCAGGAACAAGGCCTGGTTAAAAGTGCTGGGGACAGCTCCAGCACAGTCATGGTTGGTACCACCTTCCAGATGCGACTGTGAATAGGGCACAGCTGTCTGTTCTGATGGACAAGGATTCCAGGTTGTTGACTATACACCTGTGTCCTTGGGGCATTCAGTTAAAACCTCCATGCTGATACAGAGGGTATTAATTTTTTGTGAGAATTTTTTTTCATTGGCAAAGTCTTCACCTCTCTCAGACAGATGCCCAGATATTTACGTAGGAATTTCTCCTCCTTTGCTTTTTCCTAAATCCTCACCTGGCAGGTATATTTACCTGACCTATGGTTCTGAAAAATCATTCCACCTCCCTGGTGGAAATACTTGGACAATACTTGATAGTCTCTGAGCACCACCCTCTCCAATGCCAACACTCTGAGGCCTGTAAGCACTCTTTTTCTGAGTGTGCAGAGCACTTCTTGGGTACAATGTGCCTGGTGTGATGTAGCAAAATGGGTACAGGTTTTAGTCAGGCTTAGGTTAGTATCTTGCATCTTATCAAATGGGTGGCCTTATCTTCTCTATCTATAAAAACTGTTAAAAAGGTAGTCAGGCTTAGGTTAGTATCTTGCATCTTATCAAATGGGTGGCCTTATCTTCTCTATCTATAAAAACTGGAGGTTAAAAAGGTCTATCTCACAAGATGAATGTAGGGAAAATGCATGTGAAAATACTTAGCCCGAGGAGCAGGCATTTGGAAAGTACTCAAGAAAAGATAGATCCTCCTCACCCTCCTTCATTTCTGTTTAGGAGAACATGTTTCACAAACACCTTCACACTGAAAATCTCACAAATTGTCATGATCAAATTTTCCCTTTTCAGGAATTTAAGGGTGAACTCAGGTATAGTAACATATGTAGAAAGAAATGCCTAGAATAATCTAAACTGTTAATTAGAGGCTGTTAATAAACAAGTGGGCTTACGTACTTACTTAATTTTGATTTAATTTTTGATAGGGGTGGGTAGGGAGAAGCACAAAATCAAATATGTTTTACCATATCACCTTCTAAGGATAACCTTTTCTACTAGACTCAGATGAAAAAAGATAATGAATATTTTCTTTTTATAAATCTGATTCTATTCGTTAATCCCCTTAATCTCACTCATGTAGAGTTTTTGGCCCTTCTGCTCAGATGGGTCATTGTTCAGCTCTGATATGAGACAAGATTGCTATTAATAAGCAGAGTTCGGGGAAGATAAAGAAGTGGGAGGAAGAGAAAGCACCATGTCCTCTTAACACTTCTGGTCGGATGACCTGCCCTTCAGGTTGTAAGGATATTTTAAGTCAGTGGTTGCCAGCCCTGGATTCCTGGGGGCCCAATGAATTAATTAATTTTGGTTAAAATACTTTCTTAACAAAATATAGTATCAAATGAAAGCCAAGGTGTGGTGAAATAGGCACTGTTATGCATGGCAGATTGCAATTAGACCAAATCTTTTGTAAAGCAATTTGGTAATTAAGTATCAAGCCTTTAAATGTTGTACTCTTTGACCTGGGAATTCTTTCTGGGAACTTATTGTTGGGGAGGAGTGTCTAATTAGGGAAACAGATGTGTACACAAAGAAGCTTATCACAGTGTTGTTTTATAATAGTAAAAAAAAATACTGGGAACAACCTAATAACATGAGAATAGTTATATGCACTATAGTGCATCCAACAGATGGATGGAGCCGTTTACAAGGAATATGCCAAAACCTGAGCCTAAAAGCATATAGGCTTCTCATTAAAATTATATATATTTTTTTAAAAAGCAGCAAAATATGAAAACTTCACAATTCAAAAGGTCTGGAAGGAAATATACCAAATTTTGATAGTGATAAGCTTATGGTGATGAGATTCTGATTGACTTTTCTTTCTTCTTCCTTATGTTATTTTCAGGACCACCATAAAGACTACAGAATATAACTTTTCTAATTAGCAAATCATCATCATCATCATCATCATCATCATCATCAATCATGTTTTACAAGGAAGTAAACAGAGATGCTAGATATAATCTTTTTGGTTTGGGAGATGGCCGAGAATGGGATCATAAAGATCAAAGACACAATAAATTCTATCAGTTCCAAAAAAGGATGGGACTGGTTGGTAAGGAGCCTACTCCATCTCATATTCTCCTGCACAAGCTTGCTGGTTTCTCCTCAGCGTTTCTGTTAGGCTTGGAGAACAGGAAAGGAGGTAGTTTTCCCAGGAGCACTGAAATCCTGGTGCTGGTGCATTCACTGTTATGCATTCCTTCTCATTCTTAGTGCCATGATGCTTATTTTTAAAGTGAATGAAATTTTAAGGATATCTAGGAGTTGTTAGGCACTTTTTATCTCCATATTTCACCTTCCTCAGCCTTGCAGAAGTTCTTAGTAAAAGGAACTATTGTCTCCTCCCCCGCCCCCACCGTTCTCCTTTCTCCTACCCACACAGAAAGTGCCTTTGGGGGATATAATTGATTTGGATAAAAGAAAAAATGGGCAGACTGGACCACACTTTGTTATGAACAAAACCTCCTTCACTGCCTGAAGAGCTGACTGGAAAGCATGTTCAGGTGGTCAGGACTGGAAGGTTCTAGAAAGAGGGCATCAGAAAATCCCACAGGCTTTCTCCCTGTGATGTGGCTTATTTGCTTTACAGGCTTCTGGCATATTTGCTGACGTCAGCAGCCCGTCAAAGTTTAAAATAATAATAGTGAAAAGGAAAACGGCCCCTTTCTGCCAGGAAGTCCTGTTCTGCCAACTTTTGTGTTTTCTTTTGAGTTAATAAACGTTCAAAAGCCACCTCCCCTACCACCCTTGGTGCGGAGCGAGGGAAGCACAATAACTTTAAAACCACCAGGTCAGCCTATTGCCAGCATAAACCATTCAGACAAGTAGCAGTTTGTCACACTCTAATGAGGATTTTACCTCTGCCTCCAAAAGAAAGCTATCATTAGGCTTTGTGTTTATGGATTCAAATGACTGTCTTGGGACAGTGGGTTTCCTTTGGTCCCTTCCTCATTTTAATCATGCTCCAGACCAAACGCATAGACGTTTTCTGCACCAGACGAAACAAAAAAAACATAATTATGCCAGCTAATGTCTTTGGAAACATCAGTTAAGAAAACGGCCTTTTAATTCCCATTTCACTCAAAAATCTGAAAATATCTACACATGTTATAATAGCATGGCGGTGGTGGAGGGTGGGTGTCTAAAAAGCAGAGAGCTCAAAGGGTCTGAGGAGGTCTGGTGGGCAGGCCCCTCTTGGCAACAGAGAATCTCTGCAAGAAAAGAAATTTCTCTATAAAGCAAGACCTTTTAAGTTATCTTCCCATGTAGTGTTGAAACTGAAGCCGACCCCCCGCACAGTTAGGTTGATACCAGGCTGGCACCGCACACACACCCTATTGTTAATACCTCCTCAGGACAGATTAGATCCCACATTCCTCAGAAGTTCTGAGCTCTGGAGGGAACACTGCCAGCAGGCTCCTTCCACAGGGCAACAACTAGCTACAACTGATAAGTTTTCATTGAAATAACTGGAACAATTACACCGAGTTCCCACAGGGCTGTGTCACTAGCTATTAAGAGAGAAGCACTGCACTTGCATGCTGTGGTGTCTGCAAAGGTGTGAGCCAGACAAGAGTAATTCAAGTCGAATCTTTAGCTCAATTTTATATGCTTTTATATGCTTTTATGGCTACATGCCGTTGTTAACCAAATTCTTCACCTAAGGTGTACTTTTAGATTGTTTTATGTTTTCTTTTCAGGTCTTATCTAGTAAACCTTGATATTTACACTATCTCAGTTTAGGTTTGGACAAGTAACTAATTAATCTCTGACCAAAGATACTGAAGTTAGACTTGGGTTTGTTTGGTAAAATCTGTTGAGGTCATGGTTGGTTTTACATGTAGCTTAGTTAAAAAGCTGAATACTAACAAAGATCTTTGCTTTCAAGGCTTACCTTTCAACCAGAGTGCTCATTAAACAGCAAATGTAGTTGTACTTGAATTCTGCAACTTCCCTTTTATTTTTTCTGAAATAACAGTGTCTGAAGGGAATGAAGTGGCAATAAGAATAAAAGGACAACACACATACCTTTGCAGGAGCAAATCTCAAAGGGCCTAGATTAAATTTTAACCAGGGGTTATGTCTACCACGATTCTGTATCTCCAAGGGTTAGGTTTCACTTTTATAATAATAAAAGGTGATTTTGGAAAAAGGACCCCATTTTAACATATACTGTATTTGCCAGGAGGAAATAGAGTTATTCTTTGAAAGAAAATAAAAGGCAAAGAGTTTAGCAGATGGGTAATTCCCAAATCTGCATAAATGTAAACAGCCAGGATTTTGGTGCCTATGGGTTTTATCAAAGGTGTGAGTAAGGCTGAGGCCAACACCAGTGCGTCCTCTTTGGCTAGTTTTAACACGTTCACAGTCACAATTAACATTCAAGGAATTTCCTTTTCATCCAAGTGTTTCTTTAAAAAGTACTTTATACCACAAACTAAAGTTCTAGCTGCCATCAGTCCTTCCCATACAAAAGATTGGTGAACTCTCCATAATACTCTTTTTGTTTTTGTTTTTTTTTTTGGAAAATGGGCTCGGACCACGTCAACTTCCTGGAGCATTTGTTTTCCAACGTAAGGGGGTTCTCACCTCCTCCCTCCTTTCTTCCCCTGAAAGAGCTTGTAATGGAGACCCTGCTTCCTCGTCTGGTTATCATCCTCCACATTCACTCCAAGGCCAGAGGAGCGCCGCTGCCGAGCAGGCGTCCCCTGCCCTCCCCAGCCCAGTCAGAGCGCTGCTGCCCGGCAGAAGGTCCGGGCCCACTCCCCGCCTGGTTTCAAGTCCCTGAGCCTGTCAAGCCGGTGCTTTCTACAAAGAAGGGAGAATCGGCCGTCTCCCTCTCCCCGCTCTGCTCGTCCTACACAAGGGATTCGCACACAGGCACCGAGTCCGAGTCCTGGCTGTGCATAGAGCTCAGCCCGGTATCCGAGTCCTCGTCGTTACCAGGACAGCTCTTGGCCAGTCCGCGGGCCTGGTCCACCCACACCTCTGCGCAGGCCTGAGGCCGGGGTTCCTGCGAGGGACCGCTCGAGACCGGAGTCCCATCGGGAGATACCGTCAGCTCCAACGAGTGCAAAGTCTGGAGAAGGCCCTGTAGCTCGCGCTCCTTGCTGTCCCACTGCTGCTGGCTGTAATCTAAGTCCGACTTGACGGCCTCAAGGTCCGTGTTGAGCCGGAGCCCGATGTACAGGCTGGTGCTGAGCTGCGTCCTGACCCGCTCCCGCTCCAGCAGCAGCTCACCGTCGAGGCCGCCATCAGCCTCCGGGGGCTCCTCCCGCGCTGCGAGCTCCTCCTGGCGCCTCCGCATCCACCTCTGGTTCAGTTCCTCCTGGATCTCGGCTGAGAGGCGTTCGAGCAACTCCTCCTGTTGGGCCCGCTGCTCCTGCAACCGCAGCAGGTCGTCGCAGCGCCGGGCCAGCTCCTCCAGCTCGACCACCTGAGCCTCGCCGTCCAGGGCCGGCGTCGCCGCCGCCGCCGCCGGCTCCTCTCCCGGGCCGCGCCCGTCGAGCTCGGTGCCTGCGCCCACCAAGTAGGTGTCCTGCACGTAGTTCACTCCGTGCCGCCGCATGCGGTCCAGATGCACCTTGGCCTCGTAGCGGTCAATCTCTCGGTCCAGCTCCCGGAGCCGCTGCACCTGCTGACGGATGGTGTGGTCCTGAGAGAGCACCAAATGCACCAGCGTCTCCATGCGCTCCACCGACCCGCTCTCGGCGGCCCGCGGCGACGACGAGCAGGACGAGGCTGTGGACGACGAAGTGGACGAGCAAGGCGACGACGGCTGCTGCTGGCGCCGCCGGTTGAGCTTGGCCAGCTTGCGGAAGGCCTTCCGCACCACCCGTCGCTGCTTCTCCTGGGTCAGGGCCAGGCTGGGCCGCGCCGGGGCGCCCCGGGCGGAGCAGGTGCGCTCGCGGCTGAGCACCACGCGCGCCTCGGCACTGCGGGGTCCCGCGTTGGGCAGCGACGCCTCGCTACGCACCAGCACGAAGCGTACATTCTCCCGCTCGTCGCCCCAGGCGTCCCAGAGGCGCAAGATGCGCGTCTTGTTGGGCAGGATGCGCTCAAAGCCCCGCCACTTCTCCACAATGCAATAGCACTGGGGGGGCCCGCACAACATGCCCTGGGGCAGCGCTTCGTCGTCGTCGTCCTCGTCGTCCTCGTCCAGGGGTTCCGGCAGCTCCCCTGGGCCTGGCGGGTCGCCAGCTATGCCCCGCCGCCGGCCTCGCCTCTGCCGGCGTCGCCGCTGGCAGCCATCCTCCAAGAGCACCCGCACTACGTCCGAGCAAGTGGTGCGACGGGAGAGACCGGACACCAGTTTCTCCTCCTGGCAGATCCACACCGATATCGTCTTCTCCGAAGGATCCATGGCTCAACCGGGACGCAGGTAGCAGGAGGGGCCGAGCCCCACTGGGGCGGCAGGGGCAGCGGGCAGCCTGGCAGCTCTTGAATAGGGATTGAAGCTCGGGATCCTCGTCCTCGTCAGCACCGGCCCTTCTCCCAGCTGCGCACAGAAGGCAAGCTGCGGCGGTGCTCGGCCTGGACGGCGCGCTCCCGGAGCAGCATGCGCGGGCTCGGGCTCCCGCCGCTCTGGCTCTGCCTCTGCCTAAGGTTCCCGGAGCCTCCGGATTTTGCTCCTCCCCACGTGGCTCCTCCCCCTCCCGCCCCCAGCGCCGGAGCTACGGCCGGAACGCGGGAGGCACGGAGCCCAGGCCCGCCCCTCTCCCGCGCTGCCCGCGTGGGCACTCTACTGCGCGTCGGTTCGAGAGAGGGAGTCGGGGACCTCCGTGCTGCAGGGCCTAGATCCGTGCCTAGGCGCGGGTCAGCTCTGCTCTTCTCTCGGCCCACTGGCTCCGCTCCTTGCGCCTAGAGCTAGCTGGACTTTCACCTTTCCCGGCGCCCCAGAGACGTTTCCTGGTCCTTCAAGGCAGCACGGTCTGAGAAGTGCCGCGGCGCAGAGAAACCGAGACACCCCGCGCCACCGGAGACTCCAACCGCATTGCCTGACCTCCAGATGGGAGCTGTAGAAGCCTGCTATAATGCGGAAGGTCTTCAGTCTTTCTTGTCTGGAGGCAATATTTGCATATTGAAGGAGAACAGGACGGGGCAGTGTGCTCGGGGAACAAGTGTAGATATAGTAAGGTCTAGACTTGAAGGGGACGTTCAGAGGCTGCTCCCGGTGCCCGGCACCGTCCTGTCTGTGGCTCCCCACGTCGCCTTGGCTTCGCATAGCCTTCTTGGTAGGGGGACTCCTGATTCTAGTGTGAGTTCCGGGCCCAAGCTCTTTTCCACATCCCACCTTCATAAAGAGAAACCTAGTCATTACCGCGACAGTTTCTGGCATTACCCAGGATCTAGATGTGGTCAAGAGGAGGTAAGGGCCAGCTTTCACAGCTCAAGAAATCCAAGACCAAAATGCAAATAAACTTTTTTTCATCCTCAGACGCTGATGAGGATGGTCCGTTGTGTGCAAGGCTTGCTCCCAGTGTGTCCTTGGAAGCACAGGCCTGATAAGGTCACTCCTTTGCTTCAAGACCTTGGATGGCTCTTCACTGCCTCCTGAATAAAGTACTTTTATTCATTCATTCATGCACTTGATAAATATTTGCGTACCCACTGTGCTCCAGGTATTCAACAGAGGTGCTAAACGTGTCCAACACGGGGTCTTCTGTGCTCTGATAAAGGAGAGCACGAGGTGCCAGAGGAATGCTGGAGTAGCATCCTACCCAGCCTGGAAGAGTCGAGGAAGGCCCCCCGGGGAAGTGTCATCTTAGGCAAGACTGAAAGCATCATTTGCGTCAGCCAAAAGAAAAACAGAAGGGAGGAGGCAAGCAGCATGCCAGGCAGAAGGAACCACATGTGCAAAGTCAAGGAATCAAAAGGGCATGGCAGTTACTGGGGCTACAAGGAGTTTAAGTGAGAGGAGTGTCTAAGAATGAGGTTGGATGGGTGAGCAGGAGCCAGATCTGGAAGAGGCTTTAATTCCATGTGTCGGTATTTGGACCTATCCTAAGGGCAATGAGAAGCCATGGAGTGTGGATTCTGCGGAGTAAAATCCTGGAATGCCTGAGTAAAAGTCTGGAATGCCTGAGTAAAAATCCAGCCCTGTCGCCTACTAGCTCTGTAACCTTAGGAAAAGTATTTCATCTCTCCGAGCTTCACCTGTGAAATGGTGACAATAAAAATCCCTGCCTGATGCAAACTATTATATATGGGATGGATAAACAACAAGGTCCTACTGTATAGCAGGGAACTATATTCAACATCCTGTGAAAAATCATAATGGAAAAGAATATGAATATATATATATATATATGTATATAACTGAATCACTTTGCTGTACAGAAGAAATTAACACAACATTGTAAATCAAGCAGAAATTAACACGTAAATCAACTATACTTCAATAAAATTTTTTTTAAAAACTACTTAATAAAACTGTTATGAGGATTAGATGCTTGGACCTGGTAAATCCACAATGGAAGTTTTATTGGAAGGTTAGAAGTAGGGGGGTATATTAGTTTACTATTGCTGTGTAACAAATTACCACAAATTTAGTGGCTTAAAATAAGACCCAGTTATTAGTTCTGCAGGTCAGAAGTCCAGCATGGCATGGCTGGGTCTTCTGCTCATGGTCTCCCAAGGCTAAAGGCAAGGTGTTGGCTGGGTTAAGTTCTCACCTGGAGGCTCTGGGAAACAATCCATTTCCAAGCTCACTCAGACTGTTGGCAGAATTCAGTTCCCTGCAGTTATAGGAGTGAGCTCCTTGTTTCCTTGCTGGCTATTGGCTGGAGGTCACTCTCAACTCCTGGAAGCCTCCCTCAGGTCCTTCCCATATAATACCCCCCTTCAGCTCCAAGTCAGCAACAGCATGTCAAATCCTCTGACTCCTCATCGCCTTGAAGTCTCTGTGACTTCCCCTTCTGCTACCTGCTGGAGAAAACTCTGCTTTTAAAGGGCTCACTTCATTACAAGCCACCTGGATAATTTCCCTGTCTTAAAGTCTGGCTAGAGACTTCCCTGGTGGCACAGTGGTTAAGAATCCACCTGCCAATGCAGGGGACACGGGATCAAGCCCTGGCCCAGGAAGATCCCACATGACGTGGAGCAACTAAGCCCATGCACCACAACTACTGAGCCTGCGCTCTAGAGCCCATGAGCCACAACTACTGAGCCTGCATGCCACAACTACTGAGCCCACGTGCCTGGAGCCTGTGCTCCGCAACAAAGAAGCCACCGCAATGAGAAACCTGTGCACCACAACAAAGGGTAGCCCCTGCTCACTGCAACTAGAGAAAGCCCGCGCACAGCAACGAAGACCCAACGCAGCCAAAAAATAAATAATTTATTTTTTTTAAAAAAAGGCTGACTAATTAGTGGCCTTAACTGCAAAATCCCTTTTGCTGTGTAATGTAAGATAATCACCAGAGTAACACCAGGGGGATGGAGATCATGGGGCCATCTTCAATGTCTGCCTACCAGAGAGCCTAAAGTGACCATTCTCATTTTGAAAAATCACTCTGCTTGCATTGGGGATGATGGATGGCGGTGGGGAATGAAAGCCAAGGTGGCCCTTGCCTTGTGAAGACTGTCACATTCATCCAAGGAGGAGATGGTGGCTTGCACTGAGAATAGTGGTGGTGAGAGGACTGGACAAAATTGAGAGCTGTCAGGGAGGTGGGAGAAGCAGGACTTGGTAATGGATTCAAGGGGTATTTCCATCTTCCTAGCATGGTATTGGGAATCTCATAATCTGGCCCTGCCTACTCCCCTAACTCCTCCTTCACATGCTTAGATATCCCTGCCTCCTTCCCCTCTCATGACTGTTAGAGCTTTGTTATCAGCTGCAATCCCTAGAAGATTTTAAGCTCCACAAAGGGAGGGATCATATCTGTTTTGCTCACTTTTGAATCCTCTGCATTTGGCACAATGCCTAGCACATTCTAGGTTTACTAGGTATCTGTTGAATAAATGGATGAATGAATGAATCCTACATTCTAGCAAGTCAACACCCCGCTCATTCAGAGCAGCACCTGAATCTTGATGGATTCATGCTTTTATAAGTGCTTTCCCCACTAACTAGGATCCCTCTTAAACTGAAAAACTACTACTCATCCTTCAGAAGTTCAGCTCAAACATCATGTGTTGTGGGAATTCTTTCTTTCCTCCTCCAAGCTGAACTGGCTCTTAGTTCCTCTTCTGCCTCTCTTGATGCACATGTTACTTTGTGTTGTGATGCACTTTTTTCATCTCTCTTTGTCCACAAGACTTAAGAGCTTTTCAAAAGAGTGAACTATCTTATTTATATTTTGGTCCCTAGTGCCTAGTGCCTGGTACATAGTAGGCACTTTCTATGTCTTACTCAATATTCTAAGGAACACTGAGATGAATACTATCTAAGATATTGTGCTACCTTCAAGGTTGTAATTTCTTTTTAGTGGCAGCAGACAGAAATCCCTGTTGTAGGAATGTTATATA